ACCTACAGATATTCTCTGATGCAAAGATGAAACAGGCAAATAACTGAAACTATGTTTAGTACAAGCAGGGGTGGAAAGTAACACAGTGCAAATACTTAATAACTGTATTTTACTTGAGTATATATATTTGTCCGATGACTTTAAATATCTGTACTTTCTACCACTTACATTTTCAAAACAAGCTCCTCACTGCTGTTTGAAGGGAATTATACATTTTTTTATTTTTGCATCAACGAGCACTGCCTTCCCAACTTCAAGACAGCTTTTCAACCTAAACAGCAAAGAGTCCTTATTGCATACCTCCTCTGAGTACAGGTATGCAGGTGAATGAAACTAATTTGACTTTATTATGGATCAAAAAAGTACTATTCCTTGTCGCTTGCATGAGCACTGCAGACTCTGAGGATCGTGCCATGTACTGAAATTGTGTCCTTTGACAGTGTCGTCGCTCCCTTTACTGAACCCACATTGGTCCCGAGGCTTTGGAGGTACAGGATGGCAGATGGCCGGCCCCCCTCGCGCAGCGCCTCCACCAGCTTGGACTAGCACACATGTTCCCTCAGTGCAATTAAGTCTAGCTGACCCCTCAGAGCCCCCTGCATCAGTGGGGTGTTTCCGTCACGTCCCTCCATGCAGATGCTAGCGCCGGCGTGCTCGACGTGCAAGCCCTGGCCACGCGTGTCACACTGTGCACATATGGCTTCTCCGTGTTCAGCATGTTTAATAATGCTGACATGTTTCAGGAGATAACATTAAGGCAGCAGGAGACCTCCACAAAAATTGACCGTCCGCATAAAAAAATTAAGCTGTGTGATTTCAGCGTTAGAGACTCGCGGAGTGCATGAGAACGCAGACGGTGATAAAGTAATAATATATCGCAAACAAGACTGAGCAGCGTGGATCATGAGTTATCTGTTGGGTTATGCATGGCAAAAAAGGGCTTTGCTCACTTGTAACTCTTAAATCAAATTCTCTATTTTGATTGAAAAAACAAATCACTCACCATTTTCAGTCCGACTCCTGAAACAGCATCTCCCTCTCTCTCTCTCACTCCTTGTCCATATATACAGTAAATATATCTCTGGATTTGCATGCACAGACTACTCTGAGGCATGACAATAAAAGAAGCGGCTTAATATATCAAAAAAATCTAGCTGATTTATTGAGATGTGAAGTGTTTGCACGCAACAACAAAAAAATCAGTCCCATGCCAAATAGTCTTCGTAAGGCTTGACTGCTATTTACTGTCATGCGTCTCATTTTAGTGTTATGGGTGATTATGATGGGGAGGCCTGTGCAGCCATATATTAGCATGCGCTGAATGAGCTGTGGGACACGTTGCCCCGTGACTGTGAGGTAAATGAAAGCGACTTGCTTATGCACATGCATTTACAGCCCGACATGAACTGGAAATAGCCTGCGATATTATGCGGAGATGTGGGGCTTTGTTGCTTTCCATACATTTGGTGTATTTATGATTGATCCCTTCCATCTGTCTCATGTAACAGCACATCCTTTCCCATCAGTCTGGACAACGAGCTTCCTGCTGTCTTTTTTAAAAAACGCACTCGTCAGTCTTTCTCTTTGAGATATGCAGAGCAGCTGACCTGTTGTTGTCTCGACTCCGGCAGAGGAACCTGAATGCATCTGTGTTGCTGTCACTCTGTGGGTAAATTGCTGAGGTTCTCTCTGTCCGGGCTGCACGGCCTGGATCTGACTGAGGCTGGTTTGGTCTGCTCCTCTCATCCAATTAGGAAATTAGTTAAAACCCTTCACTTGTGCTGGGACAAGCTGACAGTCGCACTCACACATGCACACAAAGGTGCTGGCTACAGCATCTGCCCCCATCACCCGGGCTATTTCTTAATTTAGATCTCAAGTAGGATAACCGGTCAAAACACACATACAAACACACTGAGGGGATAAATAGACCGTCTGTCTCCCCACTTCCCCCTCTGTCTGCCACATGGTGCAGACACACATCAATTGATTCGGCATCTCTCTTCCCGTCTCACTTTTTCTCTCTCTCTCTCTCTCGCTTTCATACACACAAACACACACACGAGCATGAAGACCCTCCCTTGGGGATGAAATCACACACACACACACACATACGCACACAAATATCGGGTGGCTTGTTGCTGGAGTGGACAGGCCTTTGTGAGATAACGGGCAAACGCAGTCTGACAGGCTCGGCTGGGCCATTATTGAATTGCAGTGAAGACTATATTACTTTAGAGTGAGATAAAAGACTACATACAAGACGGATGGGTGGGGGACATCAAACAAGGCTGTGTCCAGATTGTGCCAGGAGTAATCCGGCTGGAGGCAGCGCTGATTTCCCCCAGGCCAGGTGCCATTTCTACTTGAATAATTCTTATGAGGAATCCAACAGCAGCTCCGCCTTTGTGCCATCATTTGTATCGTCCTCCAGATTCCTTCCATCATATCCTGTTTTTCCCCCCCTCCTCATCCCGGTCTTGCCCATTCTTCCATCTTGTTTCTTGGATTGCCGTTGCACAAAACTTCAATGTTATGATTGGGATTCTTCAAAATCGTTTAACTTCACGTGGCGCGTCCTCGGCCGGGAGGGGGGGGGGTGTCCCCCGACTACAAATATAGAGGAGAAAGCCCTCGGGGGAAATACTTGTGATGGTGTTTGGGAGGTTTGGCCGGGAATGCAATATGGATCGCAGGAGAAGCCATCTGATGTTTAGGAAACATTTGGCACCTCGAGTCATCTGCTGAACCTGTTTGTGGTCTGAAGCGTCTTTGATGTCTAGACAAAAGCAGTGTAAACAGATGCTTTGTGTTGCACTCTGAACATCTTATGCTGCAAAAAGCCTGACAGGTATGATGATTATAACATTGTGAAGTACGGTGATCAATACTCACTTCAAAAGGGGAAATTAACAACTATTAAACAAAGCAGGAATCACCATATGAAGCCTCTTTTCCACTGTTCTGTTATGTGTTACAAGGTGATAGCGCCTTTTTGTCGCTGGCATTGCTGAATGGCATTGGACTCGACAGTAATGCTGGCATGTCATTAATCAAATATATATGCATGGAAATCATTTAGGCGCCCAGCCATAGGTTACGCTCAGGTGGCATGGAATAAAAGAACCAGGGTGATGAGACTTTTTTCTTACCACCAAGATCCAATACGATTCCCACCGAATTAAAAAAGAAGACTGTCTCCGACATAAATCCGGAGTCCACATTAATAAAATATCAATGCTCGGTGGTATGGGAAAAATCGATGTAGCTCAGCTGGTCCTCAGAATTACAATGCAGAGTTATGGCAATTTAAGAAAGTTGTGGACATGACATGTTTGTAGGATGTCCTCTGAGGGACACAATCAGGTTGCACTGATGTTCAATGTGGTTGCTTTGTCAAGACTGCCTGTAAGTGATTGTCTGTGCCAGATGCTTATTCAGTTCATCCTTGAATGTGTTCAAGAAAGACAAAAACACATCTGAGGACTGTTTTGGTCTGTTCTTTTATTTATTACCAACATGCACCTGCATGAGACCGCACCACAGAGAGGGAAGTAAATCGTCTCAGTCATCATCCACAACTGTCGGGCAGAGCGAGAAATTTTGATTTCTTCTTTTGCTTTATTTGTACAGTGGCCCTGAGAGTTCAATGCACTGCAGCTGAAAAAAAACACACGCAAAAAATAAAAAACTTTTCGAGGAAGCAAGTTCTGTTCTGTGCAATTTGTTTATTAGGTAAGAATGTGGTTGTGTTGCGGGTATTTGGTCAAATTGTTGGTATTTGGTCACGTTGTGAGAATTTGCTCTTGTTGTGAGGATTTGATTGTGTTGTGACTCTGCTTTTCTGTATTTCGTTGTGTTGTGAGTATTTTCTTGTGCATATTGTCAATTGGATGATATTTCCCCATTCGCATGTGTTTTTTCTATTACCATGGTTTTTTTTAAGCTGCAGTGCGTTGAGCTCTCAGGGCCGCTGTATATTGACTGTTAGGCAACCTCTGACAACTGTAGTTATGACAAGAGGAAATGAGGAAGCTCAGTAACATATTCGGACCAACATCCTGGTTAGGTGGAGATCAAGATGGAAGGTTTAGTGGACAAAACACAGAAAAAGGACTCATGAAACGTTTGGAGATGAGAAATTCTGTTATGCACATTTGCAGGTAACTTTTACAGCCATTCCCTAAACCTGTTCTCTCCCTGTACACACACCAGTGTGAGATTCAATGTGCACCATAGATTGAGGTCCACCTTTCCACATTCTGTACTGATTTGACTTCCCAGTACATTGTTTGTGTCATTGATCACAAGCCGTATGCCCTATGATCACTGTGGAAGAACAAGGTAAATAAACATTGGTTGTTCTCTGATTGAAAACTGGTTTGTGTGTTGCCTCTCCCACCAAACAATCCTTTTATTGAGCGGCTTTGGAGCAAGACAGCCCCATTGTCTTATTTATTTGCTGACGTGATTCACAACATGATAATAATAATTAACTGAGGTTATTAATTTTTAATGAGAGACCTAAATGGTGAAGCCCCAAGGGCCTATAACCTCTGGTTTTAATTAATATGTGGTGGGTGCACATTAGGCTTTCAATTAGAGTGGGGGAATGGCCAGGCAATCACTGAGCGCTTTTAATCCATATGCTCATCAAGGGTCTAAGTCATGCCTTTTTAATCAAGCACTCCAGACCTGAAAAGAGTGAAAATGCATGTCTATCAGTCATTCAGTGAGTAAAGCTAGAGCGATTCTGGACTTCAAGAAAAGTGCGTCCTTTTTAATGAGCTTGGCTTAAGACAGTAACGTGGCATGAAACGGCGAGGGAATTCAGAGGGGAGGGGGAAAAAAAAAAAGAAAGTGGAATTCTTCAAGAGGAGCAGCGAGGGGCGGGAGGTGGGATTAATGAGATGCAAATTAGTCCCCATTTGTTCAAATGCTGACAGCTGAAGCGCTGCTTTGACAGGGGACACTGTCAGTCCAACAAGCCCAAATAAACACTTCCCTGTTTCACCACTCAAACAAATGGCTTTTCCCCTGCACCGAGATGTGGCACATTCTGCTGGCTTGCCGCAGGTGACTTCGTGCCATTCATGAAAATGAGATTCCCCGTGCCACGAGGAGACACTTTGTATGCATGCCTGTTGGACAAGTGTGTTTGTACATCTTGTAAAACAATACCCGCGCCACCATCTCATCCCAGCAACACACACAGACACACACCTTGGCTAAATCATGAAATTGCCAAGGTGTCCCGAGCAGACGCTGCGTTTGAGTTCAATTTTCTCAGGTGCCAGTGCGGAGTCATTGCTCAAGGTGGCCCTGACGGAGAAAACCTCAATACTAATCAACAAATCTATTTTCAGGAACAGACCCAATGGATAAAATGGCAGTTAAGTGGTTTAAACACATTCAAACATGAGTAAAAAAAGGCACAGACATCAACTGTGGAATGTTCCATCATCAAGCTGCAACCCTGCATTAAAGAATATTACAGTGTTGCACAACTGGAATCACCCGGTGTTTGTCTGGACTAGTGAGAAGAAATAAAGACATTGAGACGGAGCGGTGACACGGGGGGGAAAAAGGCGACTTATAGACAAAGAGGAGGTCGATAGATACACAGACAGGTAGACGGCGAGATCGGGGGGCGTCGTGTGGCAGCTAATGCACACCAGCAATTATGGGCCATCATAATCACAGCATCCAGTGACAACATAATCATAGCACAATCAGGTGGCGAATCAGAGGCAATTTGCAGACTATCTCCACAGTTTGGAGGGGCTGGCGAAATTCCCCCGTTTGTGTGCAGCAGGCTGAGAAAGCTTAATTATCCTGATGAGGGGGTGGCAGAGAAGGGACCGGCGACCCCAACGCGCTCCGAGCGAGTGATGTGACAAATGTCGGCTGGTGCGGAGGCCTCCACACCCGGAGACACGGGTCTGCATGCTATTTGAGAATTCCTGGCGGTAACGCGGCGCGACGAGCAGGTGTCAAATCCATCCTGATTGAAATGACAAGGAAGAGCAGATGCAATGTTTGTAGATCGGAATGTGACCTGTGATTTGCCATCTTTCGAGTGTTTGTAGGTTTGTGTGTATGTACAATACAAATATGTTTATATGCATGAGCACTTAAAGAACTGTGATGATGAACTTCAAGAACATCTTTTTTTATCCTGCTGCAGAGGGTGATTATCTTGTCAAGTTCTGGCTGCAGGCCGAGATGTGAAAATACTGATAATCTCAAAGTGAGAATTTATTATTTATTCATACATATATGGGGAACGCACAATTTGAAATCTACGAGGAGACAAAAATAACTGCAGAGAAGGCTCACCAAATTTTCTGTGTTCACTGAAAAATGAAATACCTTTGGGTTATGTTATTAAACTTAGAAATGAACAACAAGGAAGCTGAATTAATCTCCACCAAGAAGGGGAGCCAGATAATTCCAGTTGAGCAAATTGAATTGGAATGTAAATGTTAAAAATGATCCACACGCTGTCCCTGGGTTCCCGCGAACACTGGCTCCGAATTCAGCCTGCGCCTCTCTCCTTTCCGTTGCTCAAATATGTGGATAACAACAAAATTAATTATACATATTAATGCTTGCTTGCTAATTCTTCATGCGCATCTTCCCCCCCCCTCCCCGAAAAATGGCTTTCTTCAAAAAGCACCCGTCCAGAATTTGAACCAACTAATCTCTGGTTGCCTGGAGAGAGAAAACAAGCGCTTTGAGGGAATAAGTTACATTCTGTTGCGGCGTTTACACGTGTGGCTGAGCACAGAACTTCAGAGCTGGCATTTCAATCAGGAGCCATCAGAGGCATCCTTGGCAGATAAGAGGAGCTGCACAAGCGCCTCCGCTCAAAACTCTAATAGTTTGTTTACGCAGGAGATGCACTCTATGGGAGCTACACTGAGGCCTTCGTCTTACTGTACAATATTCTAATCAAAGGGGAAATTTGTGTAATGTGTCGTTTTTAATGTCTTCTTTAAATATTCAAGTCATTACATTAAACACTTAACAACCTCCGATATGAGGGATTTTTAGTCTTAGGTTCACATCACATCCCCACACAAGGGATTGTGTGATGAACCAGAGGGGTCGCTGTAGAATTGCCAGGACAGGAAATATCCAATTCTACATTCCGCTATGTAAAATTATCTTGGAGTTTTTACAATTACCTAAGTATGAAGCAGTATGAGCATGTTGCCAGCAGCTGGTCTTGATACAAAGATTGGAAATGGGGTGAAAAAGGTTTGCTCCTAAAAAAGGTAACAAAAATGCCTACCAGCACATCTAACGCTCGCTAATTGGGGCAGGCGTGGTTCAGGAGAGTAGCGGGTTGTCCGCTAATTACAAGGTGATGGTTTGATCCCTGGCTCCTCCTGTCCACATGTCGAGTGTCCTTGGGGGAAGACGCTGACTCCCAAGATGCTCCGATTGGATGGCCGGTGTGGGTGTGTGAGTGTGAATGTGTATGAGAGGAAAATTGTAAAGTGCTTTGACCATTAAGGTTAAAAAAAAGTGCTGTATAAGTGCAAGACCATTTACCATTTAATTAAGACGTTATCTCTTTTATTTTTATGTACAAAAGCCAAAAGTGTAAAAGTGTCAAGTTGTGGTTTTATGGGGGTTTATGTGCCAGACTATTTCTCGGCTGAGTGCAGCCACTTCCTCTCCTGGCATCGCCGGACCCATTTGCATTTGTGAATCTTTGGGGGCTCTCGGGCGTTATCAAAACAGAGCTGACCTACAACTAGCGGAACATTCAACATAGCATGAAGTGACTTCAAAAACTTGTGTTCTAGAGAGAATACACTGTACAGACCTTGTTTCTTCTCTGCAATGCCCTCATTGGTTGCTCCCCTCAGTCAGTCTTTGTATCAAATTTGCCCCATTTTAGATAAATGGTTACGACTGGCCCATTTGGTTTCAGGACGGATGGAAGTCAGTCTAAATGGGAAGTTGGTTGCCCCCATGCTGTGAGATGGAATAAACATGAGCTCACTGATTGATCTAGTTCCCAGGTTGGTAACTTCCTGAAGTCCATGAGATTGATAGACAAGTAGTATAAAATAAAGTAACTGACTGTGAATATGCATATTTCACCCCCAAAAAACTTTACTCGTCCTTTAAGGGTCATAAAAAAACTGATTATTCATTGCAGGCTGAGCTGGAGCCAGTCCCAGCTGACATTGGGCAAGAGGTGGGTTACGCGCTGGACAGGTCGCTATCACTAACATACAGAGACAAACAACCATCTGGAGAATCTGGGGAACAGACATGAGGAGAACATGCAAACTCAAACCAGGACCCAAAACTAGGAACTGTCTTGCAGTGAGTCGACAGAGCCCTGTTGATTGTTAAATATTACAGACTATTTAAAAAGATGAAACTGGCTAATCTGTGTAAATCCGGTGGATTAACTTGTTGATGTGTCTGAGCAGAACTTAATTTGGGAATTACTCACTTTAGAAGCAGTTGCGATGACTGCAGGGAGCTGGTTCAGCACCCACATGCTCACCAAACCTACTGAATGTTTTTGCTCTGATGATTTAAGTTGTTTTTAAAAGCATTTAGAAACAGCTATATTGCTATTTTTGGCAAGGACGGACTATTTGTCTTCAATGATTAAGAGAATAAGGAAAAAGCTTCCACTCCCACTCTATAGCAACAACAGCTAAGGGAATCTGTGCATATTTTATGAAACAATAAAAAAAAAAAAGAACTAAATAAAAGTTAGATCTTCATTGCGGTCAAGGCAGTTTGCTTTTGCTCTTCAAAACTCCTTTGTTATATCAGATATATTTCCTGGACGGCTCCCAATATCCTTAAGGCTTATTGGAGCGCTGCATCCACACAACTCACAGAGGACGGCCAAAGATAACAGGAAAAGTTGGACCTCTTCCTAAAGTGAGGCATTACCGAGGCCCGCCGTGTTGTGCACAGGGGATTCGTACCCACGGCATTACAGGTTTATATCACCTGGTGTAAAGATTCATTGGCATGATCATTGGAATCGACTTTTAAGTGACCTGCTCGCGATAAAAATGAGGCTAATTACGCTGGAATGGGAGAGTGTCACCTTTGTGAAAATATCTCATCTATTGATGCCTTGATTTTAATGACACGCGTGACCTTTTGCGAGTCACACCCTTGAGCGGGACAAATACAGAGAAGAGAAATGTCTCGGCTCGTCCCTGCGAGCTCCGGGACGCTCAGTCTTGCTGCGAGCTTGCTTCATCTCTCACAGTCGCAAAAAACCTCCCACAGCACCTCTTTTGGTTCATCACTCGATTTTCCACCTACGCACAATCTCCGAAATTTTAAATTAAGAGTTACTGGGTGTCTACTTGAATTATTTACAGCGGATCATTGTCGAGTATGATGTTGTTGACAGGGATAAATGTGTTAAGAGAATCCACTCCACCCATGCTTATTCTATGCTGCCTAATTTGTTTTTATCATCACAGGGCTGGCACCCACCAGCACATGATATAAAGCAGCTTTTTATAAGCATGAGAGGCTTTCAACATGATGTCTGCTTGTCATCATAAAAACCGACAGGAAAAAAGAGAGGGAGTCGAGGGAACAGAATGTGTGGCTGAGGGCAAAAAATTATACTTCTGCCCAAGATATTATAAACCTGAAAACTGCGACAAAAAAAAAAAAAAGTTTGCAGATTTATAGGTGTTCCTTAAAACTTCATTATTCTTAACAAGAGCAAAATCTACTAATGGTGTTAAACCAAGTGAATCTCTATCAATCAAAGTCTCTTTTTTCATCATCTAACTGACGACTAATTCTACAACAATCCCAAAGTGAATGAAACTGTGTTCAAAGTGCTGTTCCTATGTCAAAGTAAAGACCCATTACAAAACAATTCTTTACATTCTCTGGACAAACTGCAGCTTCAGACCTCCATCGTTCTCCGTCATTCTGTGGTGCAACTTCCACTGGTAAAATCCAGGGACTGAAAAATTGCTCTAAAAAATTCTTCTACATTCATAATTAGTCAATAAATGCTTTTGATTAATTAAAGAAAAATACATTCTGAGTCTAGGCTATGTACTTAAGGGATATATATATATAATGCTTGTATTCAGGTCCATTATTTTGATTTGCAGCCAAATCCAATACAACTGAAGCAAATGGAGACCACTTCTTCAAACCTAAAAAAACACAGAAAAGATATATAAAATGCCTCCATACTGCTCTTGTTGAAATTGGCGTCATTAACACCATGTTTTCAGCCTAAATGTCCATTATTTTTATTATTCTCTTCACGAGCCGCGTTCATGTTTGCGTGCACACACCACACAAGCTCTGTCCTCTACGCTCGCCTCCGCAGCTATCACAAGTTCTCGCTGATCTTGTCTCGTTACCCTTGGGCATAAGATAGCGAGTAGATAATAAGGGAATTTTCATTTTTGGGTGACCTACCCCTTTAAGTTCCTGTCTCTTCAAAGTCTGCAGAGAATTGTCGACATCAGTCTGACAAAACACAGACAATCCTGTCTAATGCAATGCTGACTTTTTGAAATGGTACAAAGTAAACTAAGAGATTCAAAACAAAATGTGTTTTGGTTTGTTTCAGTTATCCTGAGCTGTCACACATAGAACACACACACACACAAACACACACACATTGAGTCTCAGTAAGGTGAAAAAGCAAACGTCTGTAGTCGGGGGAACTTGACTGATGGCTGTTTTGAGCTAAAACAAAAGATATCTGGGAGTTAAAGAATCCCAGAGCTCAAACCTCCACGCCTTTATATGAGCAGAATGTGTGTTAAAAAAAAAAAAAAAGCATGATTACGGCAGCGATACAAGTTTTCAGTTGTAAAACCAGAGGCAGATCAGTGTGTGGGTCAAACAACATTATGCAGATCACATTAGAGGTGATCTGAAAAATACAGCTTACCTTAATGTGATCCCATATATTGCTACACAGACCATTACAACAACTCAGCTGCCAGATAAATCAGCAAGCCCCGAGTCGGTGGCCACCATCATTTGAATGACACTTCCATGTTCAGGCAGAAATCACATCCACCTCGACTAAATTGACGTGGACCAGTTTTCCATATCCGAGGTGCTCTCCTTGCAGCAGTCAAGAATGTGTGCATCTGTTTGTGTGTTTGTCTTGTGTGCGACCGTGTGTGTGTGTGTGTGTGCGTGTGAGATCCCATTTCTGTATCGTTTCGGTGGTCTGATACGTGCGTGGGACTCAAGCCCACAGCGGAGAGTCAATCTGAGACATCTATTATGCACTTCATCAATCTTTTTGGACTCTTGACATTTCACTAGCTGAACAAATTGTCAGTTATCAAAACTCAATTTCAGAAATGACATGTCGAAATTCACTCCCCCAGCCGCCCCCGTGCCCCTCCTCCGCTCTCGCTCTCTCTGCTCGCGAGTGCCTCTTTGCATTTCCCCGACATTGCCACCACTGGTGTATTTTCTCCAACAACCGTGCACACGTACACACACTTAAACATGTGGCCATAATCACGCACATGTATGCACATACAGTCGAGAGGACAAATGAAGTTCAGTCCTCACCCCCCTCACTCCATCCCACCTCTACCTATCGCTTAAATAGCTTAGCGATGGTAGTTTCGTATGCAAAGAGTTAATGGCTGCTGGAGTTAATCGCTCCTGGGCTACTGGCGTTCCTGTTAGCAGATAAGGCTGTTTATAAATTGATTTGGTTATGCTTCATTGATAGTAAAAAGGAGCCCAGCTTTATTTACCGAACAACACACGCACACGCACACACACGCACACACACACACACACACACAGCTTGCCTTATTTAGATGCCTGTACAGTGCCTGTATAAGTATAGGTATAAGGTTAAAAGAGCTGTGAGAAAAAAAGAAAGCAAGAAAGAAAGAGAGAAAGTGAAGAAAGACAGAAAGCAAGTGAGAACAAAAGCAAGTGAGAAAGAAAGAAAGCGAGAAAGACAAAAAATAAAGAGTGCAAACGAGAAAGAAAGGCAAGAAAGAAAGAAAGAGCAAGAAAATGAGCACGAAATGAATAAAGAAGGAGCAAGAAAGAAATTAAGAAAGAGCAAGAAAACGAGCAAGAAAGAAAGAAAGAGCAAGTAAGAAAGAAAGAAAGGGAGGCAAGAAAGAACGAGAGCAAGACAAAAAGAAAAAGAGCAAGGAAGAAATAAAGAGCGCAATAAAGAAAGCAAAGAAAGAGCTAGAAAGAAAGAGAGCAAAGAAAGAGAGCAAGAAAGAAAGAAAAAGAGCGAGTGCAGTGACAGGGTCAACCTTGAGGAAAGGATGTCGGGAGAAAATCATTAGAGGAAAGTAAAGGTGAAAGCAGGCGACACTGAAGGGGGCCTAATCCTCGTTCACTCCCGATAATGAAAGTCATCAGTCACATTCTTATGCATACTAATGACATGTGCGAGTGCGGCGACACACGCCAAAAAATACACATACATGCAGCCTTGTGATGTAAAACAGCGCAAGGACTTCTGTATCTCGTTCAAACAGAAAAAAACTTGCAGCGTGATTCCTCCCCTCACGTGACGCTCCTGTTTGTTTTTCCACAGATTAACATTTCAGAAACTGCTAATCTCACAGACTAATCTGAAACCTGTGTCACCTGCTTCGTTCGGTGATGTCACCCCAGCGTGTGATAAGCAATGGCTTTTTTTTTTTTTCTGTCCACGTTGTGAACACAACAAATACAGTATTATTGGCTCTGACAAGCATCCAGCTGGATTTGAATTTAAGTCTCATACATTCCTCTTACAAGTAAAGACAGGAAAAAAAGTTTATATACTGTACTCACCGAACTGCTGTGGCCAATAACCCTCATCCATTACATTCAAGTGCTGCACTGGACCAGGATCCTGAAATTCAACCACAGTTCATTTAATTATTTAAACCAGTGTTTGTAGGACTGTGTCACATCAATATGTCTTCCATGAAAAAAGGGCTGCTCCTGGATGGAGTCTGTGAAACATACGCTCAGTTACTGTGAGGCAGTGATTTACAAACCAAAAACTCCATCGCGATTTACGTTTTATAATCTTTTCTGAAAATTCTACCAGGTAGATCACAAGGAAGACTGTTTTTTTGAAAACAATCTGGGCCTTTAACAATACACGTGCCAAGTGACAGCCAGACAGAGATTTCTGGAATCAGTGGGTATAATCCTAGACAGATGTTTGTATTTCGCTTTCCCTCTGGTGCTCCAATGTATTGCGGTGCTGTAGAAATAATTACCCTACCACAACACGTACCGTTGACCCTGTGTTAACTTCCCTGTCCCCTCCTGTCTCCTCCCTGACCAGTTGTCAATGAGAAGCATCTGGTCCTTTAAATGCTCGTGTCTCAAGATAAGAAGGATTTTTACACTGTCTCGTGTTTGTATTTGTGTAATTAAATATCATGGTTGTGGTTGTTTTAAAGGTTTTCTGTAGTTTAATCCAGTCAGAGGTGGTCAGTCCCCCTATAGGACCGCTTCTCCTAAATAACTGCATTACCCCACTATCATATACTTCACAGGTAACATGGACACATTCCATTTGACTACCTCAACCGATCACGAATAATAAACATTAATACAAAATACAAACCACAATAAATCACAGTAAATATCCTAATACACATAAAGTGGTTCAGGCTGTCTTAAATATAATTATTAGAGGTGTCACTGTCTAGTTTTAAAAACTGTAAATTGCAATCATTAAATCACAAGTATATTATCTTTATGCTGGATTCACCCTGAATGCCATGTAAAGAACTAAAAATCAATATTAGACATTTTCATTTCAAATAGAGTTGGACAATATAAGAGAAAGACTGTAGGAAAGTTGTGACTTTTCTTTCTTTCAGGCATTTACTGAGATAATTATAGCAGCTGCATGTGAGGTGAACTCTATTTAGTGCTTTTCAATCTTCCTTCAAGCAGCCAGTGTGAAATTTAATTTAGTGTTGCGTCTGTCCACGTAACCTTGACAAGTTTTTTTGGAATCGTTTGATTAGTCCCCTCTACTTAAAATTGCTCGACTGATTTAATGACATTCGTGTTCCTTCATTAATAAACTTCCATACTTGCAGTGCTGTATGTGTGATCATGTGTACGTGGAGGTAGGATGCATCTATGCAGGGTAATTGCAGCGGAAGATTGTCGCACTTTGCATCAGAGACGCAGCAGAAGTTTTATCTACTGAATGAATTTTAAAACCACACTAGGTACAATACAGTCGGCCAATAGCACTGCACCCCAACCTAACAGCACTGTAAGGACACAGGGGATTGTATTTTAGATTCAATCAAGTGTTGTGCAGCAAAGTCTATTTAATTTCCCTTTGCTGTTTTTCTGCAAATTTATGTTTCCTCTGAAAATATCCTGACCTTTCCTTGACACTCACAATAGAAGCGCTCCCTTTTTTACACTAAAAAACGGCTGCACAGGAGGTACAGTAGCTTACAAGAGGAGCAGCTCTGCTCGGGGGACACTACCGGCTCGAGATTTATGATGATCAGGAAGCTCATCAGAGAAAACGAGGAGGGGAAGAGAGAGAGAGAGAGAGAGAAAAAAAAAAAGAAAGACAGAGGAAAACATTCACGAGAGGAAAAGTTCCAATAATCATAAACATCCGACTCGTATTCCCACAACGCCTAGTCCTGTGCGGAGCTCATTAGCATTCAGCGGACCCACCAGATTACTTGGGGCACTCTGTAATTTGCAATAAAAAATAAAGATGACGCCAAAACAAAAACAAATCTGAGCCGATACAAATTAGGAGTCGCGCGCTTGGTTAGTCTGTCAAAGAAGTAAATTTCCTCACGCCGCGTGAAAAAAAAAAACCTCAGGTCACCAGGCCCGAGTACAGATGGGAGAATTAATGAGCTGGCTGTGTGACTTTGCTCCCCTCGTATTTTTTTCCCTCCGTTTTGCCTGGACATTGTATCAATCTGCATTTAATTTAATGTTGATTTGGTGCTGGAAAGTATTGCATGAAAGTGATTGGATTTATTTTGATTATGAAAAGGGAAGATATTTCCTCCTGGGAAAGGTGTATAACCTAAATACTTTTTTTTTTTTTTGGGAAAGAACAGCATATAGCCTCTTTTCTCTCATCTTGCATAGTGAAGACATAATTTCACATTTCACACATTCCATCAAGAGTCTTCTTTTACTGCAAAGCTTTTATATTCATCACATCTCCACAGTCGGCCTCAGCTGGTTTATCAGCCGCACCAGTGATGTCACCCAATCCTGGGATGTTTTAACGAAGCCAATCCTTTTCCCTGATGCCAGCGATGGTCTCTCAGCATGGAGGCTCCAGCTGCTAGCTGACACTCTGATATGCAAGTCCCAACTCCGCCGCGCTCCTCGCGCTGACGCATCACTCGGACTTTCAGATTACTTGAAAGGTCCACGCGGGTGGCGCCGCATGGGGTCTAAATGGCACCTGCCCAGATCTCAAAACCTACCCAACCTCTGTTTACAGTGATTCAAACATGCTGATATGGGAAAGATCCAGCAGAAAAGAATAGAAAAAAAATAAAAGTTGGAATACAGACCATAATAGGTTAGGGAACGAAACACTTGCTGATGCTGCACTAACGTGGCAGATGGGAAATGAAATTGTCAGCTCTTTCTGCTTGTGTCCCTCTATCTGTTCACCCATCCATCCATCTAGTGATCCAGCGGCAGAAAAAGCAGGGGTGGGATCGTGAGCCACCTGAAGCTTTAAGGTCAGCTCTCATGGGACGTCACCCTACTTCCCCAAAGACGGTGACTCGCTTACAAAGTCCTAACCTGGCAGGCTGACCTCGCTTCATCAGTGTGCTGCACATAGTGCAACACTGAGGGACTGTCAAACGCTGGACAGCCATGTCCAACCTTTCTGCTTGTGTATGCATTAAACGCTTTTTTGATACTTGTAACTGCAGAGAAACATGGTTGGTTGTCTCTCAGAGCTGCATGTTAACCCACTAAGCTGCTGTTGTCATTTTTTCTTCTCGTGTTTGGTGAAACCAACATGATGGGTCAGTGGAAAAAAGGGGTTTTGGACCCTGATCCCCTGTGTGGCGAAAAATACTGTAACATATACATTTTTTTCTACTCTGATGGGTACAAACGTAATAACTCAACTAGAATAACACTAGTCAAGGCCCAACAAACCCAATAAATCTAATCAAGCTGCACAAAATTTCACACAATCATATCAATTCTCTAAATGTGTTAGATTTCTTTCATCACAATCCATGAATTAGTTCCTAGGAAAACAGTGAAAATGTTCTTGCAATGTTAAAGAAAGTGAAAAGTTAATTCCTGGACACGTCCCCTGATCCGCACCTACATTTAATGAGTTCTTTCCTGAAACATACCTTCTACCAAGTTTCATGGAAATTGGTGTAGTTGTTTTTGTGTTATCTTGTTTACAAATTAACAAACACAAAAGGATGGGGGTAAAAACATAACTTCCTTGTAGCATCACACCTATAACATTATATGCAATCCCTTGAGCTGTTTCTAATATTTACTTTAATTGTTAATCTCTTACAATCCTCAGTTATTCAACATATAATACAAGTGACTGTATTGAAGTATTTAAATGTATTATGTGTGTCTTTCTATCTATTCCAACAATTGTACATTATTTCCACACAACTCTAACATGGAGTTTACTGAAACAGTTGGACAGCCAGCGCTGGCACAGTCACCTTCACATAAATCCCTGACATGGCTGTCTCAAGATATTTACAGATAGAGAAGGCGTCAGGGGACGGCAAAGTGCTGAGATAAACCTTCCCTCACCCCTATTCATTTTTTATATCAGAACCTATAAATATAAACATATACATTCATATTTGCCAAATCGCTATGGCGGCTGAGATGCATGGCTGGCGACAGGAGGAGGAGACGCAAGAAATAATCCATCATATGCACAGAAACTGAGATAGCAACCCTAAACCTCTGTGGAGATCCCAGGCTGTCTGCTGGCCTGAAAAACAGGACTGCATGGATGCTTTCTATAGGACCCTTGAGCAGCTCAAAGATTATGGGATGAGAAAAAAACAAAAAAATAGCCTCTTCTTCTGTTCCCCAAGCTTGGCTGAGGTTCTTATTGCCGACCATGTATCCATTACTGCCTTCCTCTGGTGCCCCCACGTCAATACGGCCCAAAGAAAATCTGGTGTGGCGGCACCTTCCATTGACAAAGCATGTCTGGGTGGGTCGATAGTGTATTAATATGGGACAATGGTGCAAGCCACGTGTGGCTCGCACCACTAGCCCATATCGGAGGCTCTAGCACGCCCAGTGGCTGTGTGAATGGCCTTGAGCTCCACTGGGGCAGTGGATACTTCTTGCATGTGTGTGTGTGTGTGTGTTTGTGTGTGTTTGTGTGTCAGCGAAGACTGTTTTCAACCACAGAAGTCCCAATAACTGACTACCAGACCAAAGAGGGAGAGAGAAAGAACAAGAGAGAGAAACATGGTTTATCGCTAACAATGCTGCTGTCTGGCTGTGAAGACTACAGCAATGTAACAGAGAAAATCACCTGCCTGTTCTGCTTGAGTTGTGGGTTTAAGAACCTTTCAATGTATTGAATAGTGTTTCCACCCTAACTGGCAGGTTTTAATGTTTAAATAGTTAAAGAAAACTGCAACGAATTACAAAAATCTAGGTTTTACTTGAAACAAAACCTTTTTTCGTGAAAACTGTTTTTTTCTTAATTTGGGCCTAATTAGTGGATTTAAGTAACACACATTTAAACAAATTGCAAAGAAACTGATATTGACACGTGCAATATGCAACAGCCACTAGGGGTCTCTATATCTAAACAATTACAAAAGACAGTGAAGCAGCATGGGATCATGGAAGTATTTGTCCT